GGATGAAAAGTGAGGCCGAGCAACATAATGCTGACCTTGATTACTCTGCATTAACACTGTGGAGGGCAGTGACGGACCAACACGGATGATCGGGCGGCAGAGGAATAGGGAGTGGCGGAGACAGAACGAGCAACTGAGGTCAAAAGCCACCTCAGAAAGGACAAAACACAAGAAGATGCAGGTTCTGACATGCGGTCAGACAAGTGATCCACACATAAAATACACATGCACAAGCTCGTGCAACAAAGAGTGATGCACACACACATGCTGACACAATGAAGAAAGCTTTACTAATAAGTGCCTATGCAAAATGCTGTACACACACACACACACACACACACACATACAGAATCTGTTGCATGAAGCTATTGATAACACAGAACACATTTTATGTCATCCAGAGGGCACATATGTACATTTAAGAAAACAATGAAAACAATGTCTCTGTGTGGTGACAGGGTGGACTTTTTGCGTGTGACTTCATGCCTCGGGATGTTTATGGCTGCTCAAGGCCTTGACTGAATTGTTTACTGTGCTTCACGCAGCCTGATGAGGAGCAGTGGTACAGAGTGAAAATGATGAACTACCTTTGTAATGTTTAATTTGGAGCACTGCTTTTTCTATGATCGAGATTTAATTCATGGAGGAACAAAAGGTGCTACGGCAGCTTAGGTTATACTTCCCAAACACTATTGTTCCATGAGGAAGCAAAAACTTTCCTGTGAATTTTCTGGTTTATTTTTTGGGTTTTGCTTGGCACTAGGTTGATTTTATCAGTGAGGTTAGGGTTGTTTTCTTTCTCTAAGAGAGAGAGAGACGGTTTTATGCTTGGACATGTCTGGAACTGGCCCTAGTATTTGTTATTCGTATTCTTATTTTATTGTTTACTTTTGTTACAGTGTTACAGCCTTTGCTTCATATAGCACCCACTTGACCACACCACCAATTTTCACACCAAAAGGTGGGTAATTGCAAATGTTCGAGGGAGGAATATCACCGAAAGTGGGAAAAAGATTGGCTAACCTGGCCAGGGAATGTAATAAACAGGACTGTCAGAATAGTCGGCGTTAAAGTCACCTTTGACGGTCCAGACTAGGATGAAAAAAAAGGGGAGGACTTTAAACCATCTCCGGTCCATTATGTGTTCAGTATGAGTTACCATGGTGATCTAGATAGGTTGAAAGAAAGACATCTTTGTGGCACTGCAATATGGATATAATGGTGCAGTTTATTTC